CACACACACACACACACACACACACACACACACACACACACACACACCATCATCACCCATCACAAGCACTGCCAAAACATAATGGAAAGTATGCGCCACTGTAATAACATTGTGATTCACCTTGGGAGGTATTGCTCAAGACATGCAACTTGTTTGGCAACAGATTTGTCTGATATCAACCTAAGTGCATTAGCTGCCCTGGTCATAAGGGTTTTGTAGGCAGTGTCAAAGCAGCACGCGGTCAGCTGAGCCTCCCCGGCTGTTGGCAAACTAATTAAGTTAGGCCGGTGCCAGATCCTCTTGGCTCTGATATTGCAGTAGCACCGGATCAACCGGGAAAGATCTCACCTGCTGACCCCTGACAGGCTTTACTCTGGGGAGGGGAATTAGCAGAGGATTTTCTTAGCCAGTGAGAGTTAGAGCACGTTTCTTTTTTTTTTAAGTTGATCGGTGACATAGCACACTTGACAACTATGGGACAAGCCAATACATTTAGAACAAAGCCACAAAGAAAACTAATTTTATATCTTTATCCTTGCTCGGTTTGTATGGACTCGACCAAATAAACCGGTTGTAGCAACCCCGCCTCACACCAAGACAGGAAATGACTCTTTAGAAATGGAAGTTGTGTGGTATTTGCTTTTTTCACATAGGGAGACGGAGGGAAATGAACTCTAACCAATTTCACATTTGTGGCAACTCTTAACAACCCTATAGATATCATGCCTTGCTACAAAAACATATGAGTTTTTTTCAATTGAAATGTATATTAATATACATGGATATAAAGCCTGAAACCATGGAGCTAAACCCAGACGTTTCTGATCAGGAAGCCATTAACAAAGTACACTTCAACAACAACAACAACAACCCCATTTTCACCAAAGTGTAACATGTAGAAAAGGTACTTAATAATTGGAGGTTGAGTGAAGATTTACATGAGATTCCAATGAATTCTCTAAGTATTAGGTGTATGCCTTAGTATGTGCCCAAACTAAAAAGAGGCAGATGCTTCTTAATATAATGTGGATTTCTCAGGGGTGCTCTTACCTCTTTTCTGCATGAAGGTGAAGAGGTCATCCAAAAACTCCTTCCTTTTAGGGTCATTGTCCAATTCATACAACTGAAAGAGGAAACAGAAGCTCATTAGAGCCACGGTGCGTTGACTTGTCAGTTGACCACTGCATGTCGCCAACAGTCCCCTGCAGTTCCTGCTGCGTGTCTGGCACTGTTGGCTCTTGTGGTCAGCATGATCAATTGATAACAACACCACAAGCCGACATATTCTCTATTTGCAATGTTTAATTCTATCGGCAGTGGAAAGTGTTGGCTCGCCTGTTTTGTTCGTCTTTGCAATGTTCTTTGCAGTGCAAATGCTGTGCTTCCTCTAACATAGGCACAAAACATACTACATGCATGACACCGGCCAGCTGACCGTTAGCTGTTATCTCTGTGGTTTGCAACATTTAATACAAGAGGTGAGGAAACATGAAACCATGCCGTGGGGATAAATGTATAGCTCTGTGTTTAGAGAATGTTTCAAAAAGGTTCACTTATTCACAATTTCCACTAATTCGATATCTATAAGAACGAATGTGGTTAATTAAGTGGTGTCGAGGCTTTTGGTGATCATGGTCTCCAACCGCTTACCTTAGCAAAGTCTCTGGAGGCCTCTCCTCTTCCTCTGCTACTGTCAGCCTCATCCGCCCAGCCTGCGCTGCCGTTCTACAACAAACCAGAGAGAAAACACAGATAGGGTCAGTAAACAAACCCCTAGAGTGTAAGAGTACAGATTACAGACTGTAGTGGTCATCTATTGTTATTCTTTTGGTGTTTTACCTTAATTAAAGTGCAACAACAGAGATAAGGACAGAAAACATGATGGGGAGAGGGGGGGATACACGTTTGTCCTGCAATTAAGGTCCCTGGCTGGAACTGAAGGGGGGGACTTTGCCTGGTACCACCATTAATGTAGTCCACTAATGTAGTCCACTAATGAAGTTGCACATTTTTAATTCTTAAGAATGGACTTGGACCTCCAACATTTTTTGTCTGGTGTGTTGATTTGATTTCTGACAAAGATTCTATTGGGTTGACAACGACTGTAGGTGAAAACGTTCATGTCTGGCAAAAAAATAAGCGCAAACTCCAAGCTAATTAGAACAACTACCAACATCCTGCAACACAAACACATGAAAACCAGTACATACTCAAACTCCAAGAGCGCATTTTTCCAGGGGTTGGAGGAGTAACCTCTGGAGTTATTGAGCCCCTGAGCCCCTGTGTCCCCCTCCCCCTTCATCCTCAAACATCTCCATTTGACCTAAACCATCTGCATCTGGGCCTGCCCTGCCCCCACCCATGTCTTCCGACCCAGCTGGATACAAGGGCCCCCCATCCTTCAATCTTAACGCAGCTGTGACGGGTAGCCAAGTTCATGGAGTGTAGCTGGCTGTCAGGAGGGGCCAAGGGAGGGCGGGCTGGTCAGTAGCTCTAGCTCTAGCGCGCACACACACACACACACACACACACACACACACACACACACACACACACACACACAATCAGCCTCTGCAAGTGTGTTTGTGAGTGCAGGGGGGGGCGGGCAATGGCCCCACAAGACGGGAAGGAAGGAAAATAGGGGCAGAAAGGGGTGCACGGTATGTGCCGACCAGGAATGTCTCCTAAAGACAAAACCTATAAAAGCGTCGGGAATCAAAACAAGATCCGTTCGGAGGGGGACGTTAATAGCTGCAGCCCGGGGTCCAGTTTCAAACGGGAGCCCATTGGTCAGTGGCAATTACAAGGCCTGAAACGAGAGCCGGGAGGGCAAAGGTTGTCAAGGCCCCTGAGAGCAAGTCATTTTCACCCTCTCACTCTCTGTACGTGTAACGGTTGTCAGCATTCACGCTCCCTAAACAAATACTCAGCAATCAACTTGCAAACCCACTGAAAAAGAGACGTTTCAGGGTAGGGTTAAACGCACCAAGGCTTTTGTTACTAAATTATGTACCTACTACTGAGGACACCCTCTCTTACACGTTAAAACTAAAAAGTCTCAGCTTTATTGGGGTGGAAATTCGCTTAATCAACATTGTTAACCGTCAATAATGGTATTTTCCCGATGAGTTTAGTTCACGAATGCTTCATTTCGAGGAGGGAAAAACTAATATTTGAAGTCCAATGGTCAAATGTTCAAAGACATACCAGGAGATCGCTATCCCCTCAAAAGTGAGAGTTCTATACATTTTCAAAATAAGCCATTATTTCGTCACTTCGGCAAATATCTTGTGCTGAAAATGAGTGGACAAACGCGGCTCATTCATCATCAAAAATGCAATTCGCTGTCATCTTACATTATCTATAGTATGTCAGAGATTACAACGGGATCGCCATGTCAAGGTAAATATACCGTGTGGTACATTTGGAGGCCTTATGGACCTTTGCACACAATCTGACCGCCTCTGTTAAACTTTAACCATTATAAATGATTATAACAGCAGATAGTTCAGATTGCAGCCATGTATAACCTCACGTGCTTGCTCGTGCATGAAAAAAAAAACAACAACTTTGCTTTCTGCAGCTTTTATACATGCTGGATGTTCCCCATTCAGTGGCCCAGAGGTCGACTTTATGTGTAATCTTAGTCGCATTAACCAAACAGGGAGCCATAAAGCTTCATGGGAAACATCATCATTCTGCTTGTCAGCATGCAATTCCAGTACAGAATATCAATTCCAGTTTTACATAAACCTGTGTCTGTGTGTGTGTGTGTGTGTGTGTGTGTGAGAGAGACCGTCTCGGCTGAAAAAATAAAAACAAATCTTAAAAATCAAATGGTACTTCTGGATAATACTTGCAACAGTATGACCTGTGTGTGTACACATAATATAACTATCAGTGTGTCCTAACTTAACTGTGTTTAGTAATTTATAATGTCTAAAACATGCCTGAATTTAACAGACATCTCTGGTTCTTATCCAGAGTAAAATACTATGAGCGTTGCCTTCCAACAATAGAATTCACTCCCAGCTCACCAGTCAGATGTAAACTACAAAACAACAGCCAATGGCTGCTGGGTTACTGGCCTTTGATTAGTTAGGTGAACACAAACATGTTTACATCCAAACCACATGATATATACACACGTACACACTAAGGCGTCCATGAGGGACACTGTGTTATGGGAGCGGAGGGGTCAAGGTGTTCCCGACATCAAGCGACAACAACAGGTCTAAAAAAGGGACAGAACACCACCGTCCAGTCGGTGTCAGGCTTCCTGCTCCAACAGTATCTGTTCTGCCCCATTTTCAAATGAATGAAATAAGCACAGATTTTACACAGATTTAGAGGAATGCTGGACAGATCTTGATCACTGATCATTAGTGGTACAAATCATTTTAACCGCTCTGAAGTCAGTAAACCATCAAAAGTTCTAAATGTTATCCTTTTACTTTGTTATAGTCATCTGTAGTGGGTTTTGTTCTTCAAACACAATTTAAATGATTAGGAAATAAAAGATTGTATTTTAATAGATCAAAACAAATCTCATCATTAGTAGTTTTAATGATGTATTATAAGTTGCGTAAACGGCTCACAATTCATCTCTAATATGGATTTATGTTGTTGTGAAAACATCTCCTACAAACAACTGGATTTATTTAACTTTCTCACCAACACTACAATTTATGAGATTACATGTGAACACATCATGATCACGTTATAATTTACCTTCGCCCAATACTCATTTTCACTGAACAGAGCCTGAACGCATCATAAGATAACTGAGCGGTGCTGCTAACCCTACTAGCTCTTCTGTCAATTTAAACACAATGCAACCTTATTAGAGATCAGCGACTAGAAAAGCATAAATGCCAATGTCCTGATCGCATATTTTATTGATTTTCAGTCGCCATACTTTTCTTCATGGAGCCAAATCTTTAATCCTAGTTCACAACAAAAAGTACTCCAGTTCAGTTATTACAGCAAATCGGATTTGTTACTTTAAAATGTTGGTGTTTTGTAGATAAAGGTGGGAGACGAAGATAAAATATAATAATGTGATAATTAACAGCACATTATCTTGATATCCATAAGTTGTATGCATTACAAATTTGAAAATCACAATGGTTCCACTGAATCAAATTGTTTCACTAAAGCATAATCTTGAATGTCCCATCCAAGTCTGCTCCAACAGACAGATGACTGACTACTGCAGAGGGCAAGCTCAGGCTGAATGGCCAACATGATGAAAAGGATCGATGGCGGTAAAGATAAAAACCAAACTATTGTAATGCTAAATAAGAATGGCTAAAGTATGAAACAGGGACAAGCTTTTAAAAGTTGGTTATTATACTAACCAGAAGACTTAAAGAAACTTACAACAACCAAGCAGGCGTCTGCAACAAACACACGTGTGCACCATGTGGCTGCTGTTGATTTTACACTTTGGGGTCTTAAAACTACCTTTGAATGATTCCTTGTGTTTGGGTCTAGAAGTGTAATTCTGTTTAGTTGCATCCACAGAAAAAGTCTGCTTCACCGGCCGCTTCAACAAAGAAAAAAAAAAAAAAAAAGCACAGTAATTGAAACATGGAAGACGTTAACCATGAATAGACATGTTGGCTCTTGAATTGGGACCTTGGTCAGCTGAGGAATGTTAACACTATGTTGCGTTTTTGTCAAGTTAGGAGTGGATACTGATGTTTTGGGACCACTCCTTATGATCAGTCGCCTCAGCCCCCTCATCACATCCAGCACTCCACCCAGAAATGACTTCTTTAAAGAGAGAAGTTCCCACACCCCACCCACCTACAGTCATGACAGGGGCATAAAAGCAGGGGCTTATATAATTAAGAATAGTTTAAAAACTAAGTGTTTTAAGCATGTATCTTTAGGTAAATGTATGCGTTTTCTTTACATCTTTTTTTCTTTACATTTAACCTGACTTATAGGCAGTTATTTGAGAGTATATTTATCCAAACTACAATTCAGTTAGGTCAAATGAAATGATACATAAATAAATCAATCAAATAGAGAATTAAACATGTGTGTCTATGTATATATCTATATATGCATTGCCACCATATGCTAGTGCTGAACAGAAGCCTTCATGTATTTAAGCAGCCCGTGTTCTCTCTCTCTCTCTCTCTCCCTCTCCCACCCCCAGGTTTACTGGCCAGGCAGTGGGTGGCCTAATCACATTATGAAGCTATATGGATGGATATATATATATAGCTTGTCATCGCAGAGGTGGGTGGAGGGGCGTTTATACTCACGTTTTCATTTGGTATTCTTCTGTAGAGTTTTTCAAAAATGGGTCATCACCCTCCACTGTTCTTCTAGCGCTGACAATAAATTAATTAGTGCAGTTTTACATCCTTAAAAAATCCGTGTCATTATTTCAGAAGATTTGGCTGCTTTGCCTAAAAAAATAAAAAATTTAAAAAAAAAACATTTTGAGTGCACCACAGTTGTTAAATGCATACATCTGAATGGTGCATTCATTGTCGTACAGCACAGTGGGCAACCCTCCGTTTGCAACAAGTTGACATTCTTTGCATCCCTCCATCTGCCCCGGATAAACGACAAAAACACACTCCCATTTGAATGTCGATACATGGCTCGGGGGTAATTCTACGCAGCCATTATAGAAAGATGTCTGGAGTAGAGCCACCATTTTAGTGAGGCCAGGCATGCCGGAACAAGAAGGGTTAATGGCTGCT